ACTCATATTTAGCAAGTTATTGTCACTATTGATCTCTACATCTCTTTGAATTTTATAACGCTTTCGTTTCGTGAACGAAAAAATTTTATGAATACAAAGCTATTTTTAGTCAATTTATCTTTATATAGTAAAAAAATTATTTTTATGTTTGGTGTGTAGATCATTGAATAACACCTTTCGATATACTGATGATTTTTGACAAGTCCAAGTCCAGAGTAGGACTGAGTCCAAACTGATAAGCTTTTTCACACGGACTGGAACTAGACTGGGATAGATTTTTTCTCACAGATGTGACTAGATTTTTCGGTTTAACCTCGGTTCATCCCTTCTGATTTCGTCCCCTAAAACGTTTTTCTTGATTCATCCCTCGTATGCACGCATAGACTAAATTCTTCAGTTTTAAATTTATTTAATAAACTTTGTAAAAAAGAACAACATTAATAATTAACAATATATGAACAGCTACAATTTACAGGTAAAAAGAAGCTCACTAATCTATATAAACTTACGGATATTTAGTAGGGATACAGAAAAATTCTTCGAAAATCTGATTCTGAACAGGCTGGTATTAGTATTTACAAACATCAAAATGAATGGATGTTTCTTCCACTACGCACAATCGTTATGGAGAAAACTTCAACAAATTGGTATGAGTCGTTATTTTCTTCCTAGGAATGCTAATAGCAACAACAACAATATATCAGATGCTGAACGTAAAAAGACAGATGATTGGTTTCTTGGTGTCATTGGATTAGCATTAACACCAGCCGACATAGTCGAAAGTACTTGGACGGATATTATTGATTTGTACATACCAGATGATGTTAATGCTACTGAATTCAATGATTATTTAGTTTAAACCTATGTAAAACGTGATATTAGGTCATATGGGATTGATATATGATGCAATAATTAATGATTTACCAAGGACAAATAATCACGTTGAGGGGGTTCAATAGTCGAAAAAAATTATAGAATAATATTGATAGTAAATTAAAAGAATTACATGAAGAACATATAAAAGGAACATACATTTAAAAGCCGAATAATTTAGGCTATGCGTGCATATGAGGAACGAATCGAGAAGAGACGAATCAAGAAAAACGTTTTACGGGACGAAATGAGAAGGACAAATTGAGAATAAAAATGACGAATTGAAAAATCAATTAGGGAGGAATCGAGAGGACACCGATTTTTCAGTTCAAATTTGTTCACTCTTTTATCTTTTTGATATTACCGCGTGATCGGTTAAAGTGGACGCGAAATTACATGAGCTCGGGAAAAAGAGATATTTGAGCTCGGTGTGTTTAATTGGCTTTAAAATGAGAGAAATGAGCTCGATTGCAATAAAATTATATTTTTTTTTATAAATGAAAGTTTTGAGTTCGGAAATTTTTTAATCTAATGAAAAAGAGAGATTTGAGCTCGGAAATGGATTTATACTCTGAAAACATGCAAATGAGCTCGGTTAATCTTATTTTTGTCAGTAAAAAGAGAGAAATGAGCTCAGTAATTAATTTATGAAAATCAGTTAATGATTTTGTCAGTAGTAAAGCATATTTAATAAGAGAAAAATTGTTCAAGAACAAAAAGTGCTAGATTACAATAGTTTTTTACTAATATTCGGTCTTTTATTAAAGCTAATTTAACTTTCTTTGGATGACATTTTCTACAACATAGTTTTCCATTTTCCATTGTCAAGTCTTTGCTTTAATTTGTATAAATCAATGGGC